GAGAGTAGCCTATGCTGGCAAGTCTCACTCGGGGTGAGAGGTAGATCGTATTTTTATTCTCACCCTGGGTGAGAATAGCCACTTCCAATTCAAATAGTATTTGGTCTTCAAGACTTCTGGATTTCTTCTCTGGATGTAAACAAATGGATCGTGGACTTTAACGAACGGAACTACAAGATCACTCCTTGGGCCGCTGTGCAGCGGCCTTGTCCGCCTGGCGGCCGTAGGCCGCACTGCGCGACCGCGCTCTCTCTGCTCTTCCTCCCTTGCCTACTTCGGGCACGTATAGTCAACAAAGTTTCTACCGGATTTTTCGACCGCAAAGCCCTTGAGTGCGCGCGAATGGCTAGGCCCAAGCGCTGATTGGTCAATTTAATCTCCCCCTCTCTTCACTGGTCCTGTAAACTTCACCCGCGCCTCTATCTCTCATGGTACCTGTAGTCTTAGGCCTAACCTAGGCTGGCAAAGTGGGTCCACTAAAGTTCTTCGGCAAAGCCAACTATTTAAAATGTTCCTGGTCCACTTTTCTTTTTTCTGTTTATTATTGATTTGAATGTAGATCTCATGTGTGTTTTCTTAATTATTATTGTAGCCAGGGGGGCAGGCCCCCCTGAAACCCCCCACCTCCCACCCACCCCTGGCTGTCGAATACTAGATCTATAAGTTATCAACTTAATTAAATGCTGAAGGTGCGGTTCATCAAACGTAAGCCAGTCTGCAAGAAATTACGCAACAATGGGCAATTGCGGGCTCACGCGCTTGCGTGCTAATTTGCATTGTTTGAACCGATAGGTCATCTGGGTATCTCTGCATTTGCATTGTCCCACTCATTTTAGTTAATACCTTGTTGTTTGTCGATGAGGCATGACGTCGAACAATGGCTTCCTATCATGACTATTTTTGTCGTTTTGCAGAGATTTTGCATTCCAATGTAACGACAACGTGCAATTGTCTGTGGTGCCTATTTTTCGTCATTAAAGGATTTTAGAAATTTGGAGGTGCCAGACAGGATTGGTGATTAAAAAAAAAAAAAATAAAAATTTTTTAAATCGATTTTTTCAATTTAGACTAGATATCTAGATCTAAATCAAGATTATTAAAATTTTAATCGGATTTTTTAAATTAAAATTTATTTTTT